GGCAAACACATGTTATTTTAAAGAGATCTATCTGCCCTCGAAGTTTCCTGCATAAAATTCTGACCACCCTGTATATATTGACACAATTCAATTATTTTTTTTTATAACTTTGATACCCTACAGATTAAAAAAAACAACACGTTTGGTTTAATTAATATGTTTTTACTTCAAGAATATCCCATTAAGCCGTATGATAATTTAAATAGGGCCGCTTTTCAACCTTTTAATTAATTTATTTACCAATCAAATCCATATACGTCTCATAAAAGTTACATATAAGTAACATACATAGATTTAATTGACAAATAAATTTATTTGGTAGTCTGAAAACATTTCCCTCGGCTTCTAATATGATGCTCGGTGAAATTGGCTGGCTATTCAAATGAATAATAGCCTTCCATCTATAAAGTTACCTATATTAACGCGAAAAAGTGTTTAAACAAAGCCTTTCTATCCATTCAAGAGACAAAAATTTAATTTTGGCCTGTTCTCTCTTTGCGATTTATGTGAAACTATCTTGGTAAAACAGAACCGTTTCTTTTAGTATTCAGGATTTGAACCATCGTCGGGATTCTACAATCCTGACGGAATTAACGCTAGTGGACTCAAATCCCTCGAAAAGGTCAGTTGTGTGCAGGTCTTGAGCAAAATTAATACATAGTATATTTTTGTGTTAGTGCAACTTATTGTTATGTACATGGAAACCAAACGCAACTTTTTAAGCAAAATGCACGTCAGTTTGTAAATTGTGGTATGCATAGGTACTAAGGAAAAATGTTTCGCTAAAAAGGTAAAGCATGTATGACTCATCAAACAATGCCTGTAATGTAAAAACTTCAGGATTCCACCTCGAGTAACTTTAAGGAATTATGACAGCTCATAAAAAATAAATAAACTTTCTACAATTTCGAATGCCACACTTTTTAAATATATTTTGTTTTAGATCAGATTTAAGTTTATTGAATAGTCCTGATGTTTATTAGTAAAGCTACAATTATTAAATAGTGATACAGAGCCTTCATAAATGTTTACAAGTCACGTGACCGCTGAGCTTAGGCAACCCAGCAGTGCACGATTGGTACTGGTAACGAAAATTCCCAAAATCTTGGCGTCACTAATATTAATGATGAGTTTACGTAGAACAATGACAAACCGTTACGTCTACGCTCGAGATAATGGGATCGCTGATTGGTTGAACAGTATCTCGTGAAAAGTTCTACCAATCACAGTCGACGAAACAGAATGTTGCGTTTTAATGTGGTCTTGATCGTATTGTTTTAACAATTTTTAACTTTACCGAAATTTAATTGCCAACACAAAGGAAATAAAATTACTATTCCAAACAAAATTACTGGTCACGCGGCTTGTAATCATTTATGAAGGTTTTGCATATCACCATTGGGGTTATTTTATGTAGAAATCTACGAAGCTTACTATGTAATAATCGGTCAATAACTTTTGAAACGTACCTAAAAATAAGCAATATTAAGCAAATACGAATGTAAATGTGTCAGGAAATAAGGTGTGCCTCTTTCAAACATGATAAATTGAGTTTATTGCACACAAAATTTGTAAATGTCAAGATATAGATATTTATTTGTTAAGTGACAAACAAAGCGATTGGGTATTCAGTATTTAGCCTTGTTGAGAAAGTTAATAGGTAATGCATTTGTGTGAATATTGTAAAATTATAATTTTTATTTCAATATCCACTCATTTTTAGAGGTTCAATTTTATGAATGTAATTCAATATATGTGTATAATTAATTTGCCAATGTCGTGTATTTATTTACATATTTGTGTTAGTGAGCAGCCTTTAAGTAGTATTTCTGTTTCAGTTCTATTAAAGATAACTGGTCGTCGAAGAACGCCATAGAAGAGACAGACACGTCGATGTAGAGCAAGGAATATAGAATAAGAGTTTTTGCTATAAGTTTTGTTACGTTTTGTTAAGGTACTTGTAATATATTTCTTTGTAATAAAATAAAATCTATTTAAAATGTGTTTGTGTTGTCTGGAAAAACTTCAGGTACTGGTCATCGACTAATTCCTTTTGGTGTTCTTATGCACACAATCCAAAATAAGTATTAAACGCATTTATTTAAAATATTAAGCTTTATATGTTGGAAAAGATATACTTTTTTCGAAGTCATCTATCCGATGATAGTTTTACTTGGATACAAATCAATGATAGGTTATTTTTATTTAAACAGAATCCCTCTTTTCCTTTACTAAATCCCAGTCGATCGAATAGGAACAGTTATACTTTCAGATGGCAATGATAGATGGCAGGACTATCACTAAAAGCTTTTTCTAGCTTCCGATCCAAAAATTTACTACTTTACAGAAGCTAGATTTTATTTTATTTTAAAATAAGTGCACTATAACCTTATTTAGCGAGTACATTGTTTTATAAAAAAAATCAAGTAAATTCTAACAATGATAAATTTAAAAATAATGTTATCTTTTGTATAGTAATGTTTTTTAAGCATTTGACACTCTTTAATAACAAGGAAATAAAAAAATAAGAAGAAATTTTGTTGACTATGATAATGTGGACAAAAATAATGTTTATTGCTAGAAATAATTGTCAATGATCGACTTAATGCTTATTTAAACGAAAATCATATTTTACCTGTTATTCAATCTGGTTTATTTAATTATTATTTATTAATTAAAAAATTTAAATATTTTGGAGTTGACAACGTTATACTTTCCTTTTTTTCTAGTTTTCTTTCTAATCGGCGCCAAAGAGTTTGTTTGGGAAATTTGTATTCCTGTTTTCGAGATGTTAAACAAGGAGTGCCTCAAGGTAGTATTTTGGGGCCTACATTGTTTTCAGTATATACTGCAGAATTTTTCTCTTTTCTCAGTTACTGTAAAATCATCATCAGTATGCTGATGACACACAATTATACTTTTCTTTTGCATATGAAAATTTTTTAGTGTCCGCTGATTGTATTAACTCTGATCTAAATACTATTTCCCATGTTGCTAGCGCTCATATGCTAGCACTGAATGAAAAGAAAACTGAACTTCTGCTCTTTGGTTGTAATAGACTGAACCTTATGAACAGTCCTGATTTTAAAATAAAAATAAATCAGCAAATTTTAAAACTTGTTGTGTTTATTGATCTCAGGTTTGATAAGCATGTGAGTAATCTAGTGCAAAAGTCTTACAGTAAGCTGAAAATTTTGTATATGCAGAAGGACTTCCTGACAAATGATAAAAAACTGTTGCTATGTGACTCTTTAATTTTATCTTACCTAGTTGTAGTGTTGTTTATTGGCCAGCATTAACGAAAAAAGACAAAAACACTACAAAAAATTCAAAATAGTTGCTTATGATTCTCATTCAACTTCAGTCCTTTTACAATCAAAATAGTTTTAGGTTCATTTATCGCTTATCTTGCCTTCTTCTTCAAATTAATTATACAGCTTCACCCTCTTATTTATACAAAAAGCTTATTAGAGATTGTGATACTCATACTTTGCCAACTCTTAGTAGATTTATATTCCGGATAGGAAAGTACCGATGGTCTATCTGAAGTTACGTGAGAGCGATAAAGTAAGCCAAAGAAATACATGTGATAGACAAGGATGGGTATAGTGAAGGCGTCTAATAGTCACCGCCCATTTCGCCCTTCCACAAATAAGAAGTGGATCTTAATATGATAAAGATGTGTTGCCGACACTTGAGCTTAAAATGTTTGTTTCAAAAAGCATTTTTTTGCATTTCAGTAGCAAGCATACAACTCTTTTATTACCTTGATTTAATCGATTTTCGAGTATATTTCACAATGAATTCTTTATGAAAAATAAGATTAGCAGATATACAGCAGCAGATATTATTGACTTGCAATTTAAAAAATGCAAACATTTAAATTACTTAATGTAAAAAAGTAAGTTCACCCGATAAGCCGATTGACCCTTATCAGCGCTTACATGCTTCGCTATGCATTTTCTTACTTTGGCTTTCGTCACGTCTTGGTTAACAATGTTATTAAGGAATCGAGAACGAAAATTGATTCAATAGAGAACTTTAGACGTAGGCATATACATTGTGCATAATATATTGAATATTTCATTTAAGTTACTTTTTATTATTTCACCTCGTATATTTTTAGAAAATATCTTCCCACTAAACACGAAACGTAAATGAAACGTTGCAAATGAGATGTTTTACTAAACATTTGAAACATTAACTAGAACTGTTTCTGTTTCATTACAGAAATGTAGCACTTGAAAACTTATTTAGTGAAACATAGCCGAAACGTTACAATTGAAGAGAGTTTGAAACATTACTCGAAACATTACCTTTCGATCTCGGAAACATAACTTTTTTCAGTGGCTTCTCAAAAAGAAAGAAATTCTTAGTAAAAGTTGGCGCATCCCCAAACTAGAAGAGCATATTTATTTTTTTTAATATACAATGTAACTTTTTTTAGTTCGAATTAAGTCATTCACAATACAAATAAAAATATCACAAAGGAGTATTAGAGATATTTAAAAAAATACACTATTTATACTATTTCAAAAACGCTTTTGAAATGAAAATGATCTAAAGTTGAGAGCATTATGAGAACAATATGGTAATAAAATTATTATGTTACTCAAACATTTCTGAAAATATACTGAAACGTAAAACAAAAATATCGAGGGCATAAATGGAACATAAAAAGAATGTTACTGAAACCAATTTTTTGAAACGTTTCATTGGAAACGTATTTTGGGGAGGACATCTTGGGCTTCTAGAACGTTACCAGAAGGTTGCATGGATTTTTTATGAAACGTTTCAAGAAAAATGGAAACGTTTCTGAAACATGTCAGAAACTGAAAAATGTTTAGTGGGTACATTAATAAATTTGTTAGTTTGAAAGAAAGCACATATTAAATCCTGCTACAAACTGTATATCAGCAAAATATGCCATCAATATAATATAATAGTTATTTTATCATTAGAGATAAAATTTGTGAGCAGAATTGTAGATAACGATAAGAGCACTAGCAGTAAATAAATATTCGTATTTATTACAGTCGGTCTAGGTGATCCTGTGTTGTGCGATTTTTTTAGAATTTATTAAACTCTAGAAATCATGGCAGGTAAGTTAGATTATTTTTTAGATACTTCTACAGTTTGCTTGGTACAGAAAGTGTAAATTAAAGAAAAATTAAATGAAAAGAAAATTGTTAATACGGTTAGTCCAGCTCAGATTAATTTCGAGAACTGATATATTAATTAACTAAATGGTTACAAAATTAATGAACCAATTTCTAATGAATTCAATTGGATGAATCAATTAAAAGACAACTTTTTAGACATATTGTAGAAGATATGCGTTACCTATTTTATGCGTTCTTTTAAACATTATCTATTTAAGTTAATAACATATTTTTAAATTTATATAAAAAAAGTACATTCGTATGAATGGTTGGTTTTGTTATAAATTTGCTTGGATTTCAATGAACGTCAGTGTTATTACAAAAAATAATATGATTCATTTATCTGTATTGGAATAATCTCATATTTACTGATCTGTACAAAGTTATTGATATGACGTGTCTAAGGTAATGTGATTATTACTGTTGTTTATGATTTAAAAATAAAAATAATTCTCAGAATGTTCTATTCGCTGATATGGCATTAATTTATATATTTTTTGCCTTTTTTCGTTGTATCTTCAACAAGATTAAACATAATTTTAATACATTTGCTTCTAGCTTATGTCTTGAAGAGGAATATGCCTGGAAACAAATCATGGATATTTTTTACAGTTTTGTCATTCAAATTGTTATGTATTATTTAAGTATCCACATAATATGATAATGTTCATATTTTCTATACGGTTTCTAATTTTAGAAATTTTAATTAAGTAGATAACTGCAAAACAGGTTTCTTGCGACTTAACACCATTTGTTGTCGAATATCTCCAACAACATTTTCTGTTAAAACAGTAGGTCTGCCTGTTGAATTGCCCCAACAAATACACTTTTTCCTCATATTTTTTAATAAGCATTAATTTGTAGTTTTTAAATACATCACATACGATATTAGCATGTGCTTTGTTCCGGTGTAAACGCCATTTTTACACGAATTTACAAGAAACATAAACTTAAAATATTTATTTAACTTAGGGGAAAACGTCGAATTTTTGGAGTTCTGAAAAACATTATTTTCAACCGAACAGGCAAAGATTAATTTGTAGATAAGAATAGAAATTGTGCTAAACACTGCTAAATTGTACAAACAATAGGCATAAATAACACGAAAAAATACGAACGCCTGTGGATTGACATTTCTTTAGTAATATTTCCTCGGTAATTTCTGAAACATCAACTTAAGAAAATCAAATTTACTGAGCGCCAAAACTAATCTAGTCACGTGGGACTCAATCATAATTTTTTTGTAATTATCTTCTCAGTAATATCTATTTAAATTCTAATTAGTTATAAACCATTTTTCACCATTTTTTCACCATTTCTTAACTTTAAAAAAATCTAAATTTGGTAAAAAATAAGACAAATGCAAATATACATATGTGCAACTTGTTTCGAGATCTCATCTTAATTTTTATTTCACCAATTTCATTCGAAATATTTTCATCATGGAAGTTCTCTATGTGGACATAAAAATCATCCCTAAAAAGCGATAGGGATCCCTTGTTTAATTACCAAAATATGACCACTATATGTTCTTTAGTTTCTTCATTAAACTGACACCCTATAGGAGAAGTAGATAATTTCGTTTTTCGTTACACACTTTCGACTAGTCTACTATAGTTTCTTCCTTGTCGTCTGCCATACTTAGGGTTGTTTTGCGCCGAAATTACCGCATTTGGTATTCTTTTTCAGCCTACTACTGGGTTGACTCTGAAACACGATCAGTTTTTCCAACCACAGCCATAGAAGGGGGCAGAGATCTTGACGGTTCCACGTTGTATGTAGGTAGAGCTTACCACGAAGGAGATTGGATACCTGCAAAGATTATTCCTCAAAAGCACGCAGCCTACGTTTCTTATGGTGGACTCGAACATTTAAAAACACGATATCAGGTAAATATCTGTCATTGTATTGTTTAATAGAGAAAGAGGGGAGAGCTCTTACATCAAAACTTGAATTAAAAACAAAGTAGGAATGTATTATAGTTGCCTGCCAACAGAAGTTTTATATTGAATTAATTGAATATTGAATAAAATATTGTAACAGCATCCTTGTTTAAACTAATATGAAGAAATTATTGATTCTGTGTAGAGAATTATGACTTGAACAATCCATTTCTTCATTATTAAACCGCACTGAATAATTTGAAATTATATTTTAAAGACACAATAAACGTAATTTCTTTTAGGTTCTATGTCAACAGCGATTCGACTGGGTGCCGTCACATGATGGACTGATACCTCCAGGTGCCGTAGAAGGTGGAAGAACCAGGTCGGGTGAAATTCTCTACGTCGGTAGAGCTTATCATAAAGGAGCACCTACCATAGGCAAGGTGAGTGATCTTCATTTTGACCAAATTTAAATTAGCAGCGTGATGCGTAAATAATTGTGATCTTCAACAGAGTTGACTATAGTAGTGGGAAGTAAAAGACCTTAACTACACGGAGTTCAGATATAGTGCGCTTTGTTCTAGCAGAGCTAACATGAATTTGGTCAAACTGTAAAAACTTTTGTTTGAATTTTTTAACGATGCCACACTCTCCGAATAAAAACACAGCTCCACAAAAAAAAATAAAAGTAAGAATTTTCTAACATTAAAAAGTGCTTTTAACCCACAAAATCGACAAATCAGCATTTAAAGTCCAGGTATAATTTATCAGCGACTGAAACTAGTGATAAGATCTTTATATTCCCGTGTAACCTGACCCGGTGAACATAAATCCGAGGTCAGATTTAGCTCATAAGGCCACAAACCCTTTCTATCCTTAGAAAAGCTTAAAAATCCACAAAACTAATAAATTAGCTTCTACAGGGTATCCCAGAATATGTAGGCAATCTCTCAGATTTATATAGGGGATGTTAAAATAACAAGACAATTTCCTATAAAATTTTTCCCTAGAGGAGATACATGCTAAAGGATGCCCCTGAAAATTGATTTCACAGGTCAGCATTTGATACACAGAGTATCTCTAGACCTCAGTAGGGTACCCTAGGATTTTTGAGGTCGCTGATTTTGAATCCGGGATCGGTTGACCTCTATCACATCAGATTCAAGGTCATTTGAAGGTTAAACGGAGAATAACTGCTTAGAAAAATTTGAAAAACTTTATGTCAAAGTTTTCGAGGTCGTTGAATTCGAATCCGGCGTTTGTTTTACCCGCCAAGGTCACCCAGAGGTTATTTCAAGGTTCTTTCAAGGTTTTTCAAGGTCAAAATGAGTGAACTTTTTTGAAACTGTCTAAAAACCTACACACAAAGGTTTTTGGGGTCTCTGATTTCGAATCAGTTCGAATCGGTTGCCCTCTATTACATCAGGTTCAAGGTCATTTGACGGTCAAAGTGAAAATAACTACTTAGAAAAATTTGAAAAACTTTATGTTATAGTTTTCGAGATCGCCGAATCCGAATCCGGCATTTGTTTTACCCGGCAATGTCACCTAGAGGTTATTTCAAGGACATTTCAAATATAAAGTGTATAAATGGGTTGAAAGAACTTGAAAACTTTAGTTTTCAGGGCTTTTTTAGTCTTCAAAAATACATAACGTGTGGTTGTAAAAAGCCCTGAAAACTAAATTTTTCAAGTTCTTTCAAACCCATTTATACACTTTATATTTGAAATGACCTTGAAGTAACCTCTGGGTGACATTGTCGGGTAGAACAAATGCCGGATTCGGATTCAGCGACCTCGAGAACTTTGACATAAAGTGTTTCAAATTTTTCTAAGCAGTTATTCTCCCTTTGACCTTCAAATGACCTTGAACCTGATGTGATACAGGTCAATCAACCCCGGATTCGAAATCAGCGACCCCAAAAACCCTCAGATACTCTACTGAGATCTAGAGATACTCCGTATATCAAATGTTGACCTGTGTTTTTTTTAATAAGTTTTAAAGTACTTTGTGTAACTTAATTATTTTTTAATATGAAGGACAACAGATCAGACTCCTTAAACATTGATCCATGAAAACAATTTGGCTTATTTGATTTGCCAGGACGTACTAGCTGTAGCACAATAATGCCAATTTTTTTACACACTTTACGATAAAGGTACAAAAATATTTTTAGATAGTTTAAACCTTGAACTAAAAAAAGGTGCTCTTGGTTGAATGAACTGTTTTCGGGAAAAACTATTTTTGTTTAATATGATTTTTATTACATAGGTAGGTAATTTTGTATGTGGATCAGCTAGAGCTCCTTCTAATGTTATGCATTCTCTAGGTCTACAAATTACAGATTGTTGGATCGAGGAGGCCAAGCCACTGGTCCTCCTCTTCCTATCCAACGATTTTCGAAATGCCTGTTTAAGTGTTTTCGAACTGCTAGACTAAAATGGGGTGGTGACCCATCATTAATGAACCACGTACTATGTCGTATTGCCAAAGGTAGGTCGTCTAAAAGTTTTGACAAGTTGTCTTGGAGAAATTCCAAATAAAGTTTCTCAGTTAACCTTCTAGGCAATACAAATGGTCCAACGAAATGTTGCCCGATGATTCCAGCCCATACGTTAATGGGTTTAAACTGATGCTGATGATGCGTCATAATAGAAGCATGTGGATTTTCTTCTGCCCACAAATGCAAATTATGGGAGTTTATAATTCCATTTTTACAAAATCAAGAGAGGTGGAAGCAGAATATTTGAAGGTCAACTAATGGTTTGCGGATGAATTTCAACCCTGGATGGAAATCTGTTTTTTTTTGGCCATACTTTCTGTTTATAGTGACTCTTTCTGTCTCTATAACCTATAGACATAAAAAACAGGGATGAAAGATGAATTTGGACTGCCTCCAATTCTGAAAAATATAATTTTCCATATTTTCTGTATTCAAGAGCGGTTCTTCGCGAGGTATGATTATACCTGGATCATAGAAGCTAATTTATTAATTTTGTGGATTTTTAAGCTTTTTTAAGGTTAGGAAGGATTTGTGACCTTATGGGCCAAATTTGACTTCAGATTCAGAGGGTCCAGATATATCGAAATTAAAGATCTGACCACTAGTCCGGCCGCAGATAAATCATATCTAGATTTTAAATTCTAATTTGTCGATATTGTGGGGCTTTAAAGCATTTTATGATTTTAAAAATTCTGGTGATTTGCTGGTGCAATTCTGCCATCGGATTCGGATTCAGCGGCTCAAAACACATGGGATTAGTTGTTTTTCTCTCACTTAGCGTTTGAACTGAAATTTACAACAGTAAAGAACAACGAGATTATCTCATATTGTTTTTCTTTTGCAGGTTCATCCTAGCCACAGGACCTGTTACATACCTTTCGATGGAAAAGAGATTCCTTACAGACAGTATGAAATTATGGTGCTAAGATCATAAGACAATTATTTTTTTTACGTTAAAGAGAACGTTCTTCAATATTAACATTAATCGATTATGATGCAACTAAGTTTATTCAAGAAGATGAAATATAATGAATAAATTGCTTTGCTTATAAATTAAAAATTTGGGAATTACTTTATTTATTTTGAATTTTTGCAGTAATAGTGCATGGTTCCACTTTTTTGTTTCCACAATAAACAGGAAAACTGCAGGTATAACCTGTACTTATTTTTTTTATTCAGTACCTATTTAAAAAAAACTGTATTCCATAAAATAGTTTGTAAGTTTAACTGTATTTACTTTCTCATATCGATAATACACAAGTGGATAACTGAAAATTGTTTTATTTGTTTAAGAGTTGGGAAATATTAGTCCACTTAAACTACACATATCGAACTCAGAATCTGAACCCTAAAGATAATTTTATTAATTGCAATCATAAAGACATAAATGTCATAATAATTTATAATACTTAAGACTATAATTGGCCATTAAGAATTACTTAAAAAGCTAATTTAATTGACGGTGTCTAGTTTATATGTGAGAGATTTAATTAAACAGTGAAATTTTCACAATAATTTATTATCAATTAATACAACAATCTTATTTACATATGTTACAAAAGTACATACAAATACAAATATACAAACGAACGTTAATCATATAAATAACTTATATTACACAAATACACAGTGGTTTTCTTTCATCGGTTTTTATCAACAGTTTCCTGATATAAAACCATAAAATTATAAAACTTACTAATTTAGACACACAATTTGGTAGTTAATGGATATGCTTCTTTGAAAATTGGCACATTTTTGTTCAGTATATGTTGTCAGTCTGTTCAAAGTAACAATAAAAAAATAGAAAACCGATGGAAGAAAAGAAAACACATTTATTTCATTAGAGATTAGGCCTCTTTCGAATATAGAAAAAATTTATTAATACAGAGACGTAGGGTCAGGGTTGTATGTGTAGTTAAAAATTTTTTGTGCAATAGGTAAATAAAAAAGAAGTTTACGAGTTTGTATTTGGTGTGTTAGTCTTTTAAGCTTCAGAGGTGCCAGAAAATGTTTTGGGGCAAGTGTAAACAATTTTTTAATTTTCAGAGTATGAATGATCATTTGCAATTTGACGTGTTTATAGAGACTGTACATAGTTAATGCAAAAAGTTTTGTAGCATTTCTTTCGTGTCCTTTACTGTATCGTACTTAGTTTTCCTTTCTGAAATGAATTTAAAAAATAAGACATACAGGGAGTCTCGCATAAAAACCGACAAACGGCAGGTGCATGTAGGGGTGTCCAAAATATTGTAATTTAACCAAACTTACCTATATACAAAGTTGCAGGAGTTATTAGCCCCCAAAGTGGGGCTCTAAATTTCGAAAAAAATTAATATCTCTGCAACACTTTATTGTAGAAGAACCAAATTTGGTACATGATTTAGGTTTATTACTGGTCTTCTTTGACTATGATTTAAAGTTAATTGAAGCACTACAATGGAGATGACTCTCCTATAAAATTGTACTAAACATTTTTTTCATTGACCGAATTGAAAAATAGTAATAATAATTCGCAGCAAAATTAAATTTAAATTTTTTTTTACTCCTGTTAAATTTTAAAAACTATGGTTTTCAAGAAAAACAGTATTAAGGTGGCCATATCCCTGACCGAGAAATGGTGAAATTTCTGTCATTTTTAGGTACTGAAATCTTGAAAAGTAAAACGTCTAGAACAAAAGTAAGCACAAAAATAAAATCCTTGATGTTTTGTTTATTCATTGTTACCATTTAAATTTACCCAAATAAAATAATAACTAAAAAAAAGCGTTTGTAAAACATGCGTTTTCTGTTATCCTAACCCCACATTTTAAGAATTATTTTCACGTACTTACAAATAAAAGTAAACAATTTTATATGTAGGTCTAAGCAAGTAAATGTTATAAGAATATTTACATGTGGAGTTATATATAAAAAAGTTAGTATTTTCGTAGATTTCAGTACCTAAAACCTTGATGGTTTGATCGTTTTTTGCACCTGTTTATTCGTTTTACTGCGGCGTCTTTGAAAATACTCAGGTGGCATGACATAACATTCCTATTATTTGAAAAGCTTTAGATTATTCAGTTATTAAATGTTTGAAATTATTTGTCTTTGCGGAAAACACTATTTAAAGAATATGGGGCCCCTAACTGACACAGGATTTTAACAGTGTGCATTAGAAAATCAAAAAGGCAGTAGTAGGCAATGAATTTATCTTTCAAACCTGTCAGTTAGTAATAAAATTATTTTATTTCTACAATTGCCTCTGATTGTTGTTGAAAATGGCTGGAAAATGTACATTTAGCGAAAAAGTTGATATGCTGGGTTTCTGCGAAGGAAACTGTAGAAGAAGTGTGGAAGAATGTCGTAGGAGATTTCCTAATCGTGTGGTTCCTCACAGAGGAACATTTTCTAATGTTGAAAGACGAGCTCGAGAGCCAGGAAAGTTTTTCAGCAACATCCGAGAACGACCTAATGTAATAGGGGTACAAGATAAAGAAATTATTTTGCGAAGAATTGAAGATGAACCGCAAGTAAGAACTAGACGTTTATCTCAACAGACTGGGTTATCAAGAACTTCTGTAAACCAAATTCTTAAACGTAATCTATTGCATCCATATCGTGTCCAAAAAGTGCAAAAGTTGTTGCCTCAAGATTTGAATCGACAAGTGAGTTTTGTGAGTTTGTTTTGCATCGGGATATTAATTTTCACAAGAAGATTATTTTTACTAATGAGGCTTGTTTCACTCGCCGAGGAATTACAAATATTTAAAACTTTCATGAATATTCCGCCCTTATGCAATAACTCCTCGACATTTTCAACGCGAGTTTAAGATAAATATTTGGGCCGGTATTATTGAATCGCTATTTGATTGAACCAGTTATTTTGCCAAATCGGTTAAATGGCGAAAGTTATTTGGAATTTCTACAAAATACCCTCCCTCATATAATGGAAGATTGACCGTTGCAATTTAGACTGGAGCTTTGGTTTATGCATGATGGAGCACCGCCTCATTTTAGTGCTACTGTTAGAGATTTTTTTAACCTTAAGTTTCCAAACAAATGGATAGGACGAGGAAATAATTGGCCACCACGATCACTAGACCTCAACAAATGTGATTATTTCCTTTGGGGAACACTGAAGAATTCTGTTTATTCTTCGCCAGTTGAATCCCCAGAAAATTTGTGGAATCGTATTACAAATAAATGTAACCTTATAAGAAACGATCATCATTTATTAGACAGACTAACTTCAATTTTCGGCAAAGAACAAATTTATGTATCAGGGAAAATGGTGCCCATTTTGAACAATTCCATTAGTTTTAATTATTATTACATAATTTTTCAAACTGCATTGTATTATACTTAACATTCTTTAAAATAATTTTGTCTATCCCGATGCTTTCAACTATTATTTTTATTATTTATTTGTGTTTTTTACTTAATACAATAATCGCTTATTTAAAAAACTTATTTTCTTTTTGTAGAATTAAGAGAGAAGTGAAGTGGCCAGTTGTCAAATTTGAAAGATAAAGCCTACTACTGACTTCGATTATTTTCTAACAAACACTGTTAAAATCTTGTGTCAGTTAATACGGTTGTTCTTAAAAACCTTTTTTAAAATTTAACAAGAGTAAAAAATTTTTTAAAATTAAATACGTTACTTACGTAAGTTTGGTTAAATTACAATATTTTGGCCACCCCTACATGCATCTGCCCTGTGTCCCGAAATTCATGCAACAAAATTTGGTCACAGATTCTTAAGACAAATTTAGGGGACCCGTATTTTTTATTTTTGCCAAGTGGCCCCCTCTTTAGGAGTTACAGCCCCCTGAAGTCCGCCCCTAAGAATAATCTTTTTTTTATTTCTCAGAACCCTGTTGTACGAGAATCACTAAATTTGGTACACAAGGGTTTTATGACATGTGGAATCTGATGGTGCTACATTTTTTGGCGGGGAACCCCCTTAAGACAATTTTTGTGGTCCCCCTTGTCTTTGGAGCCAAAAAAATTTAATCGCATATTTAAATTTCTTAAAAATTATCAGTCCACTAAAATGCCATTAAATGTAGAAACTTTTTGTCTCTTTATACTTTTTCGTAAAACGCAATGTTTTCGAGAAAAATGTCAAAATGTGATTTGAATGCATATCGTGATCCGACATTTTTCTAAAAACATTGCGTTTTACAAAATAAATATCAAGTGACAAAAAAGTTTCTAAATTCAATGGCTTTCTAGCTAACTAATAATTAAAAAAATCAAATTTGCTACCAAATTTTTCTGGTTCCAAAGATAAGAGGGCCCACGAAAAAGTGTCTTAAGGGGGTTTCTCGCCAAAAAGCGTAGCATTGTGAGATTCCACATGTAATAAAACCCCTGTGTACCAAATGTAGTGATTCTCGTACAACATGGTTTTGAGATTTAAAAAAGACTTCTTATGGGCAGATTTCAGGAGGCTGTAACTCCGAAAGCGGGGGCCAGTTGGTAAAAAGAAAAAATACAGGTCCCCTAAATTTGTCTTAAGAATCTTTGACCAAATTTTGTTGCATGAACTTCGGGACACCCTGTATATTCGTTCCCTACTACTAGAGCACCATCATAGTTTTATTTTGAATAATTAAACTTATTTAACAATATTAGAGCCTTCGTGTTGCCAAAAATTTTCCTAAACTGGAGAAGCTTCTACCGAGCACGTGCTGTCTGACTTACTTTGAGTGTTTTTTTAGTAATGCTTGCTAATTTCAAAACCTAGATATTGATTTCATAGTATATCTGCTCCGCAATCAATTATTAAAAACTGCAAACTCCATATCTTTCAACTGCCAAAGTAATCTGTGTCCATCGAATGATTCAATAAAGAGACAATAATAGACCTACATCAATAAAAGATTGAATAGGTCGTTACATATTCGATACTTTCTCTCGTTGTACAATTATGCTACAGTTTACCAACATTTCTCACAATTTAAAGTTGATCAAATAACTTCTAAAGTAACTATTGATTGAGCCAATTTAACATTTTAGAGCCACATATTTTTTTGGTTTAGTCTCTCTTTATTTGAATGGGAGAACTGAAAATGAGTTGTAACAAAGTCTCATTGCTTTACTTGAAATCGTGAGGAATGTTGCATACACCAATGATTCAGTAAAGTCATTATTGCGACTAGAAGTCAGCTTCTGCATCTCTTGGCCTTCGTGTGACTAACTAGACGCACCTGCCTCTTCAGCTGTACTTAGAGCAGTAGAGACAGTACGCACAGCCTCATACTTCGTGAGAACATTCCGAGCTCGGATCGTTGTTCACGATGGTGACCGTGGTGTTACCCTTCATCGTCGACCTGCTGGAGGCGTGCCTCTGCAGGTGGAGGTTGATGTGGTTCTTCTTGTCCTGCTGCTTCTTGCGGGGGTAGCTGCAGAGCAGGATTTCCCTCATGCCTCTGGAAAAACATAGCTTTATTAAAAACGTTTGCTATAAAATCATTAGAGCAAACGAATACCCAAAAACCAAAGACATATAATTATATTTTTTATATTATCATCCTCTTTAGAACTTTGACAATATACTGAAAGTATAGGAAAAAATTTTCAGGATATTTTGCAGATATAGGTTTTGAACCATTACGCACTTCTAGATCAGTTTTAAGGAAGATTCTACTGGGTACAGCAATACGGCGCGACAATCATTCAAGATTAGTTCCCACGTCAAAACTAACAAAATACTAGTAGCAATAGATATTTTTTATCAGCAGCTACGAGCCTTGTCTGTGGAGTTATCTATGTCTTTTACACACCTATACATATATTCTAATGATGTTAAACAGTTATAATAGGTAAGGAGAGTAAACCACAAAAGTATATTCCAATTTGGGGTCACAAAAGTTACGTATTGTGGAAATATTTTTAAAATATTCCAAATACAAGGTTCCAAAGTAAACAGGAATTTTTAAAAATAAGAACAAAAAGTTTTTTTGGCAAAACCAATTTATTTTGTTCAAAATAGTCCCCTTTCGGCTCAATGCAGCTACTTGACGGTCGAAAAACATGTCGAATGAGTTTTAATTGCCAGTGTTGCGAGAAACAACTACTCCGCTAACTCTATGCCCCGACCGGCTTTGAATTATACTCGCAACACCTAGTGCAACAGCTGGGATCGTGCGTCATTTTTCTCTCTTCTTTTCAACTCGGAGACTATTGACATTAGAGAAAATAGTCAAAGGAAAAAAAAGTTTCGTTTCTCTTCAAAATAAAAGTAGTCTGAAAAGATGTTTTTTTCATGAATTTATTTCGGACTTTGACTTTAGAGCAGCCATATAAAAAGTATGGTTCTGAGTACTTCATGATATGGTAGTATCGCAGAAATGTTTTTATCGAATTCGGCCGGGTAGATTTCGCACAATTCAATTGTTAATTAAAAAAATACAGAATTATACTAATTTTTAATTCCCTCTCACGGTAAAACCAATGATTATTTTGAGCTCCCAATTTTTATACATACCCTTTGGAGTCTCAACTATTAATCCCCATTTAAAAATTTTCGATTTTATCCATTTTAGTAACAATTAGAATTTTTTTAAAATTTCTTCGAAAAAATACTTATAAACATTTAGAGCTGGAGCTACCGTATTTGCATATTTTTCAAATGTAATTATAGGATGAAATAGAGGAAGGATTGACGAACAAAATCCACTGTCCCAAAAGTGATTTTGATTGTTTGAAGCAAAAACTTTATAACTATGAAAATTTGTTTAAATCGGAAATATATTTTAACTGTTCTGATGCAAAAAAGATTGATACATTTCACAGGAATCGAGAAGAGTCAAAGAGTGTGGAGTGGAGGGGGGAACTATGCGAGCGGAGCAGCACTCGCGCAACTTCAATCGACTTTTTATCATCAGCGTCTACAACAGATAAATAGATGACTTTTTTTAATCGATAGAGATCTATTCGAATTTTACAATGCCGGTTCAGAAAAAATCTTGCAATTTAAATTTATATGCAAAATAAAGAACAATAAAGTAGATAATATACGGTATAATATATAGAAAATCCAGCTACGAAAACTTTTATCAATATTTCACAAAAATGAAAATATACTTGTTAAAATAAAAGGAAATGTACTACTTATGGGAAGCAGAAAAATATAATAGCATCTTCTTGCAATATAAAGTCACATTTATATCACGAATGCTCCTGCAGCAATTGAAGTCTCAAGAAGTAACTAACACAAACTACTGTCAAGGTCGTTTTACAGCAAAATAATAGATACTAGATTCGTTATTCGCGAAATGGAATAGAATTAGTAGTACGGAAAAATTACGGAAATTAAATGTTATTACATTTTGAAACAGTTAGATGTAGTCTATTCTCTCGTTTTAGTTTGTCTCGATGAAAATTTTTGACAAAATTTACGAACAAAATGTATTAAAACAGTTAATGTGGGTAACAGGCTCTTTATTGAATCTAAATCGAGACATGCTGCTTTATTGGATTTTAAAGCATAGAAAGGGAAATTCCTCAAGAGATAGCTAACTTAAGAATGTGAACAGTTTATGACGGGATAATCGTTTAGGGGTTTAAGTTTATGAAAAGCCCCTATCTTAGTTTTTCAAGCATTTACTGTTGAGGGTCAGCTTGTTTTAACCAAACAGTAAATTCTGCAAAGTTTGTTCCGTATTAGCGTTATAATAGGATCTAATAAAATAGCACCTACAACGTGTATCTACAAAAGCCATTACATTACAGGTTTAGGGTAAAATTTTAAATTAATTTAATAGCTTACATAAAATAACGATAAATTGCTATTACCCCTTGCTGGTACTTGAAAAGGGTGGGACACTAACCCTTGTTAATAAAATGAAGTATGCTCTAAAATACCTGGTTACTTCGAAGCATCTATATTACTGACTAGATATTTACGCTTCTAGAAAAACGAAAATTACTGCTAAATATGCAAATTCTGTTACAATATTTTTTTAGATGTAAAAGTAGCTGTTGTTACATTTTTGCATCACAATCTTATCCACATACAGAACAGTATACAGTGAGTTTTTCTCAACATGTAGACCGAGCGGTAGTTGAGGCGAATGCGATTCCAAAAGCGTATCATTTTAGGGGGTTCCAAAAATTATTAAATATATATAAGTACATAAATATGTCGATTTTGGTAAACACTAGGTTATCCTTACAAATTTACTTTCACCTTGTGTATATTCAAACGTTCAGTAAGGAAGTATTTTTTTATTTGTACCTACATCTGTGTACAACCTGCTTTTTTTAAAAATGGAACATTGCGAAAGGTTTACTATTGTAGCGTTGTATCAGTAAGGCAACACAAAATCAATAAAGCTACTAGAATTATTAAACCATCGATAAGACATAAGAAACTGCTATAAGCATTAATAAAATCACTGGATATTGTTGTCCATACCACTGTCACATCAATGCTGTCGCCTAAAGGTATGTTTGGTTCTTCCACTGATAGTCCCAAATTCGTTGTTCTTGTTTTTTGTCCGCAATTATTTGCTAAACTAAAAGTTGCATTATTTCGTGCCATATTCGTTTTTATATTTGCTGAGTTGTACCTATTTCATTGTGTCTTTAAATTCGGGTATGTTTTCCATTCAATCATTTTATGATTTCTTTTTTCCATGCACTTGTTGCCAATTTTCCTATTCGTCGATTATGATGTATCACTGCTCAGATTCCAGTGAGGCAAAATAAGGCGCAAACTATTTTTCAAATATTCCACTGTCCATATCCTCATAGTAGTATCTTGTTTGTCGCTACTCGCGACTCTGTTATTTTTACGTTTTCGAACTAGCTGACATGAATCTGAAGCTAGTTTGACACAAGCACCCACCTTTTCGAGGGTCAGACATGAGTATTCAGGAGCAGGAATATACCTGGAAAACGGTGGTATCCAGAAAAGTTTTTCATTGGGTATGTATTCCACAGTCTTTCAGGTAGAGGTTTCCGCTGTTTCAATGGTGGAGTAAGGATGAGGTAAGGAATTGTGTAGAGCAGTCGACAATCAGGCTACGCTCAGGGTGGTTGACTCCCTCAGTACAAGGCCGTCCTTGTTCAGGAGTATGGAGATACCCTGGAGTTACTGGCCAGACGAACAGAGGTAGATTTGCTATGGGTTCCGGATCATATGGGTTTCCCTGGGAATGAAGTGGAAGATAAACTGGCTCGTCTTGGATCCAGGAGGCCTAGTCAGGGACCTGAACCAATCCTCAGAATTGCACGAGGTAGCATTACCGGGACCCTTAATAAATGGACTTATTCGGCCAAAACTTGAAGAAGGAAAGGTGTGCACATGGCTTTATACATGGGCCTAACAAATCTAAGAGGAGATGGCTGGTAAGCCTTGGTCGGAGAGCCCTAAATCAAATTGTGGGGGTCCTGAGAGGTCATTGCAGAATAGGAATTAAGGAAGAACCTTCATGTCCAAAATGTGGCGAAGAGGAGGATACCTCTATCCATCTTTTGGGACATTACGTAGCCTTCGAGAGGTTGAGGCCTAAAGTCTTTGGTACGAAAGAGCTGCAAGGGGATGAGGTAAGAGATCTGTCATGGATTAAAATCCTGGTGTTCATCAGGGCGTTAGGAAGGTTCGAGGAGGGTCAGAGGCAGGCAGAGGATAGATAATGGGACGGCTGGGAAGGCAAAAAGGGACCACTTGTGGCCTAATAGTCAGGCTGAGGCTACCCCCAACCTACCACTACTACTACTTCGGTAGATTTTTAAATTAACGTATTTGCTTGTAATGAACTCTTTTGCCTTCAAATGATTGATTATTTTTACTTCTAGTGATTGAAATTTAATTTTAGTTATCAAAAACAAGTTAAACAACAAGTTATCTTTATTTATTCCTGAAATCAAGTCCACAACGTCGTAAGTAGTAGTATAAACGACAAACCTGTAATTTTACGAGCCGTTAATATAATTTTACGAAGTAAATAAGCGACCTATAAAACAATCATAAAGTTCTCAGGGGAAACGCAGACTTTTGAGGTCTCCTTTCAACCATTAGTGCGTTAATGGTTCTTCTAATATACTTCCTGTAGGGGAAAAGAGACGTTGCCACTTTATATCTATTCATTACAGATTCTTTTGTGGAAACGAACTTGATTTATATGATTAATTGACCTAATTACATGCATTCATCGAGTATATTCACTGTGAGATAATGTTATCTTAATTCGTACGGCGTAATGAAGGGTGATACAGTAAGAAAACGTATAATTTTGTTCTCTATTCACTATGTTCCACTTATTAACATTTGTCTATTCTTTATATTAAAACTATATCAAAGTAATCTAAATCAATTATCTTCCCAGGCCTCGTAATTCACTTTATCATTTTATTTCTCGAAGAATACTTAAAACTTGTTGTGACAAGTTGTATAAGTAAAAGAAATAAATTGTTGTAAAAT